AAAAAAAAAAAAAAAAAAAAAAGAAATGCCCAAACACAGCACTGCGTCGGTCTTAGCTGTAGGTTTTCCTAAGGTCGGTCTGCAGATATGAATTCTCCATTAATCTGAGTTCTTGGAAGTACATTAAAGCAGGATCACAGCCACACAGCTCACACAAAATTCTAGGCACCAAAGGAGCCCAGAGTTGGCTGGCAGTGCCTGCTTCAGAGCTGTTCCTGATTTCTGAAAAGTCAGTAGGAATGTGGAATATAGAACACTAGAAGATACCACAGTAAGGTATCTCTAAACTACGTCAAAGGACTTCCTGGACACTGAATGACAAGGCTACTGGAGGAACTGGTCACAGACAGGAAGAACAAAAGAATGTGACACTATCAGATTCAGACAGAGCTACAAAAAGCAGCAATAGTGTCACCTATTAAAGCGTTTACTTCATAACTCATGTTTGCATTTGTCTTTCTGCTTGACTAAAATACTCACACCAGCTGCCACTTACAGAACAGGATAGAATTCTCTCTCCTCCTTAAACCAACTTTGCAAGGGGTGCCTGGGTGGCTCGGTCAGTTAAGCATCCAAGTCTTTGATTTCGGCTCAGGTCACGATCTCACGGTTCATCAGTTCGAGCCCCCAGTATGGCTCCTCAGTGACAGTGCGCAGGATTCTCTGTCTCCCACCCTCTCGGTCCCTCCCCTGCTCATGCACTTGCACTCTCACTCTCTCTCTCAAAATAAACAATAAATAAATTAAAACAAAACAAAACAAAACAAAAAACCTTGCAAGTTTGGCATTACCACTCCATTTAACAGATTAAAAAATGAGGGTTAAGGAGTGTAGCTTGTCTGAAAATTCTTCATAAGAGGTACAGTTTTGATTCAAACCCATAGCTATGATTCTCTAAAATCATAACCCGTTTCCCCCTAAGCCAACAGCATCTCTGGTTAAACAGATTATGCTTCCTATTTTATAAACCAAAAGGACAGAAAGGGGAAGGAGGTTTTAATCCAGATCCCACAGGAGCAAACTGGATTAGTAACAATAACAGTAGTAATAACAGCTAACACTGATTTAGCTTTTGGTAAGCTCCAAGCACTACCATTTTACATCTAATACTCGTGACAAATCCATGAGGAAAGTACTATTCTTAGACCCATTTCTGATTAGAAAATGGCAGAGAGAGGTTAAGTCATTCGTCTAGGGTCACACAGCCAGTAAGTAATTTTTTTTTTTAATGTTTTATTTATTTCTAGGAGAGAGAGAGACAGCGCGAGCAGGGGAGGGTCAGAGAGAGAGGGAGACACGGACTCTGAAACACGCTCCAGGCTCTGAGCTGGCTGTCAGCACAGAGCCCGACGCAGGGCTCGAACCCACAAACCGCGAGATCATGACCTAAGCGAAAGTCAGACAATTCACCGACTAAGCCATCCAGGCGCCCCTAGTAACTTTTTTTTTTTTTTTTAAATGTTTTATTTATTTCTAGGAGAGAGAGAGACAGCGCGAGCAGGGGAGGGTCAGAGAGAGAGGGAGTCACAGACTGAAACAGGCTCCAGGCTCCGAGCCGGCAGCCAGCACAGAGCCCGACGCGGGGCATGACCTAGTAACTTTTAAAAAAGTATTTTTTGGGGTGCCTGGGTGGTTCAGTCCCTTAAGCATCTGACTTCGGCTCAGGTCGTGATTTCACGGCTTGTGAGTTCAAGCCTCACATCGGGCTCTGTGCTGACAGCTCGGAGCCTGGAGCCTGCTTCAGATTCTGAATCTCCATCTCTCTCTCTCTGTCCCTCCCCTGCTTCTATTCTGTTTCTCTCTCTCTCAAAAAATAAACATAAAAAAAAAAAAAAAACTTTTTGCCCGTGCTGGGCTCTGTGCTGACAGCTTGGAGCCTGAAGCCTGCTTCAGATTCTGTATCTCTTGTCTCTCAGCCCTTCCTCTGCTTGCTCTCTGTCTCTCTCTCAAAAATAAATAAACATTAAAACATAAATAAAATTTCAAAATATGTATTTATTTATGAGAGACCAAGTATGAGTGGGCAGAGAGAGGGAGGAGGGGGAGGGGCAGAGAAAGAATGAGACACAGAATGACACAGAAACCGAAGCAGGCTCCAGGAGCTGAGCTGTCAGCACAGAGCCCGATGTGGCACTCGAACTCGTGAACTGTGAGATCATGGCCTGAGCTGAAGTCAGATGCTTAACCCATTGAGCCACCCAGGCGCCCCGAAAACATTTTTTTAAATTTTCTTGAGAGAACGCGTGCACCAGCAGGAGAGGGCAGACGGAGAGGGACAAAGGGAATGGCAAGTAGCCTCCTCACTGTCAGTGCAGAGCCCAATGCAGGGCCCAGTCTCATGAACCATGACCTGAGCTGAAATCAAGAGTTACACGCTTAACCGACTGAGCCACCCTGGCGCCCCTAGTAAGTAGCTTTTAACAATGACACCATACACTCCAGGAAGGAGCTGTAGACTGGGAATTAAAAGCCCCCTCAGTTGCCAGGGAGAAACTCTGTAGCTCAGAAATCTTATTCAGCTTCTCTGAGCCTCAGTTTCCCCCTGCATAAAAGGAGGTAGTCAGCCTAGATGATTTTTTAAGTTCGTATCAGCTCTCTGATTCTTCACCCAGAGAAAATTTCAAACCCTAAAGAAACATCAGTCTAAGACTGTGCCATCTTTGTTCATTTAAAGGTTCCTGTGTCACCCTAAGTGGGGGATTCTGTACCCACAAGACATGAGGCCTAGCTTCTTTTTCATAACAAAAGAGAAAAACATGCTCTGGAAAGGTGAATTTCTTCAGACATGCAAGGAGATGATGGCTGGCGTGAGAAACTTACCCATTTCGATCATATTTCTTAAACACTGGGAAAGCCTCTAAAGGGTCTCCAAGCTGTGGAGGGAAGGAAAAGTCAAGTAGAGCCGACGCATGCGTGGCCCAGTCGCAGCCCGCAGTGAAGTATGATGTTGTGCGGCCCCCATGCTGGGACTAGCCCTCAGACAGAACTCTCCTTGCCGCCTGGGCTCTGGAGTCCCATGCAGGGAGGGCTCTAGCGAGAAGGCCCAGGAGACTCGGCTAGCCTCCCACTAATACTGGCCTACAGGCCACCTGAGCCAGAAAAGAGGCCACTTGATCCACCTGTGTACTTCTAAGAAGCCCCCAACTAACCTCACCTGGTTCAAACCCAACGGGAACAATCGCGTCCCTGAACGTCCTTATAAACGTGGACTGCTGAGTGCGTGGGCTAAAATGGGGGCAAGAACGGGGCAGGGGTGGGGGCAGTAAGGGTGACCGGAACGCCTCCAGTTCTGTTGGGAAGCCAAGCCTGCTCCTAGGACCACCTGGGGGCCGAGCTTCGCAGGGACTCCCTCCCGGACTGTGGCCCCCGGAACCCGGCTGCTGCCCCCGCCCCTGGTGCCAGCACTGCCTTTGGCACCTCGTGGCCAGTCAATACAAGTTTGAAGAACAAATGAGAAAACTGTCACGTTTTACCAGGGAGGTTTCCTCACCAAAATGCAAAATCCGAACAAAAATGCCTCCAGACCCTCTGCCACTGGTACGGAGGGAGGGAGACCCACAGAGAGGAGCAGCGCAGGGGCCAACCTGTGGCTGGCTCCCTTGGCTCCCTTTCCTCAGCGGCAAGGAGGCAGCCCAGACGCGCGCTGGGCAGTAACAGAATTCCGCCACAGGGTGGCGCCAAAAGAAGTCAAATTGAAACCCAAGCCGAAGTTCTAGAAGGAGGGGACTTGGGAAGGAGGGAGTCACCCTGTTGGCGGCGTCCACTTTGGCACACACGGCATCCATGGCTGCTCGCTCCTCCAAGCGCTTCTGCTTCTTCTCCTTTGCTTTGCTTGACTTCCTCTGCAACAGGGAAAGGCAAAGTCGGCTGAAGGGCTGTGGCCAACCAAAGGCTCGGCTTCCCCTCGGAGGCTCCGAAGCGTCAGTCCCTGCGCACACGGGCCTGGACACAGCGGCCGAGTTTCTGGTCCCAGCTGCTGCCCACATGGCCGGCTGGTAAAGGCCCAAGCGTGTTCTAGTCCCGAGGGTTCAGGGGCATCCCCAGACTTCTCGGCTTCCCGGTCAGAAAGACTCCTGACCCTCGGGGCTGCCAGGTTACTGTGGGGACCCAGTGAGGGCACAGGACAAGGCCTGTCCCCCAGCAGGTGCCTAATAGATACACGCTCATCCATTCCCGCCTAAGGAGGGAACAACTAATTTTAGACACATTCAGGGTAGGTTTCAGGGAGGAGGTGGCATCTGAGGTGACCGCTGACAGCTGTTCCTGAGCGGAAGCTTACTGAAAGCCTGTGCAGTGTCCTCCAGCTCCAGAAGCAAAGCTTCGGGCTGGGGGAGCCCCTGGGAGCCAGGCCCCCTTTCTTAACCGGGGCCCAGGGCACTCTGTTCCCTGAGCGCCGCGCTCCCAAGGCCAACGAGCGGCAGGCACATGCACACCAGGTATGGACAAGAGCAGAATGAGGGGGACACTTGGGGACAGAGGCCCTGCTGACCGTGTGTCAGGCCACACGGTGCAGGCCACAGAGGCAGCCAAGGAGGAGCAAAGAGGCGTGAATGGCAACCCCCCCCCCCCACCTCGGTAACTGCATGTGGAGCCTTAAGGCTCACAGGGTTCTCTCGGGCCTAAATGGACCCTCTCACCCTCCTGTAAAAAGCTGATGACACGGGAAAAAGAGCCCATCTGGAGTCTGACAGACTTTCTGCAAGGCCTCTTTCTGCTCCTCGGAGTGGTGCTCGGAAAGAGCCAGCCTCCGCTGCACCTCCTTTCCTCAACTGACGGATTGGGCTCAGAAGGCGTCCCGAGGTGCACGCCGGTGAGGGTGCGTCTGGCCGGTTCTCAGTGACCGAGGGCTCTCCTCCCCACTCCCCGCGGAGCCCAGCCCAAATCCCCAGGGCTCCCAGGGCGCCCGCAGTTCGGCTCTGCCTTGTCACCAACTGCATTGCCTCTTCGGACCCCACCTCCCAGTGCCCCGAGCTCCCCAGAGAGGTTCTGCCGCCTGCAGCTGCACCTTGGCCCCCTCGCTGACTGGCCCCAGCAAAGGGCGGGCTGAAAAACCAACTGCTGGAAGCTTCAGGATCAATTCTACCCTCGGCTCTCTGAGGAAGGACACTGCTGAACTCTCATTTCAAGGGACCAGAAGGCAAGAGCTCGGGCACAAGGGACTCACAGGAACTGTTCTTCTACGTGCCAACTCGCCCTCCCACCAGCTGTTTACTATCCCTGAGCTGAGCGCTGTGCTGGAGGCGAGGCCAGACCCCACTTCTCACCTTCCCAAAGGAAGGAACAAACAGGGACACCTGGGGGGCTCACTCGGTTAAGTGTCCAACTCTTGGTTTCCGCTCAGGTTGTGATCTCTCAGCTTCATGGGTTTGAGCCCCACACCACTCAGCACTGACGGCATGGAGACTGCTTGGGATTCTCTGTCACTCTCTCTCTGCCCCTCCCCCCCTTGCGGTGTCTCTGTCTCTCTCAATTTCTCTCTCAAAACAAATTTTTTTAAAAAAGTTTAAAATAAAAAAAAAATAAAGGAAGGAAGGAACAGATAGAAGCGTGAGGGCTGTCCTGATAATGCCAGGACCGACTGGGGACAGGACCAGCTCCCTTCACCATCCACCTCTTCCTCTGGGAACTTGAACTTCAAAACAACATTTAGGGATACACTAAGCTTGAAAAGTACTTTCACAAATAACTGCTTCCATCCTCAGGGCAAAAACCATCATGCCCACGGACACCTGAGGAAAGGGCTCAAAGGGACGTGTGGGTATGACAGGGTGTGACTCTCCTGTAGAGCCCCCTGGAGAGCAAATGGCAGAGGATTCAATCCCAAGGTTTGAGCCGTGGATCCAGGGTGTGCCCCCCAGCCATGCTGCCTCCCAACGGGAAGGTCAACGTCAATGTCAAAAGACCTTCTCCTTCTCCATCCTGCCAAGACAGAGGTGAGACCTCAGGTGCCCTGAAGGCAGCCACGCGGCAATCCAGTTCTCATCCCCTGTGCCTTGGAGATGGTTGACAGGTAGCCACGGTGCCCACACGGTGCGGCCCCAAGCCGCACCATCTACACGGGGGTAGGGGTGAGGAACAGGGAAACCCAAGACGGCGGGTCTCCAGGAAAGAACATGCGCATTGGCATCGGTCAGGCCAGGCCAGCGCTCCTCCAGCCGCCCTCACATGACCTGTGAGGGCAAGCCCAGCCCCAGAGAAGAGGGGACACGACTGCCGGCCTCACAGGAGCACTGTAAGGACAGGTGAGAAGTGAGCACTGAAGCAAGCTCCCCTCCTCCACCCTGCGTGCTAGTTCTCTCTCAATACAGAGCTGAGAGATCAGAGGTGCAGGTGGCTCCTGGACCCAGAAGCCACTGGAAACGTGGGTCCCCTCCACGGCATCTCATCTTGAAGCCCAGGAAGGAAGGAATTCCATGCACAAGCAGCAGGAGGGCCAACCCCAGGCCTCCGGGAGATTTATGGGCTCGGGCTCATTCTCACAAGGGAACAGGCAAGCCGGGCATCCCTGAGGCTTGGGGCCGCCGCGGCGGCCCGAGGCAGCAGATCACAAAAGAATACCCTCAAAGTGCTTTGCTCCAGCCGGGGCGGGGGGGGGGGCGGGAGGAGAGGGGGCTCCCCCTCCAACCTAGCACATGCGAGGAAAAGTGGGCTCCTACTGTTCCAATTAGCTTGGCCCTGCCTTGCGGAGGTGAGGCCATCCTGCAGGGACACCGGAAAAGTCTCCTAATTAAAATGGGAAATAAGCACAGTGAACAGTAAAGCTCGTTGTGGTTAAGTGTCTTCCCCAAGGGAGCTTTACATAATAAAAAGAGTATGGGATTTTGAGTCAAGAGACTTGGACGAGATCCTCGCTCCTCCTCTTAGCAGCTGTGTGACTTTGGGCAAGTTATTTAACCTCTTTTCAGCAAGTTACTTAGTTTGTCTGAATCTCCATTTCCTCATCAGTAAAATGGGGCTAACAATGCCTCCACCTCACAGGACAGTCTGAGGACAAAAATGTACTAGATGTAAACAATCAGGGCTGTACTGCCTACAAGGATCCTAGAGCCACACGCTCTTCTGACTAATGAAGGCGATGGGGGGGGGGGGGGGGGAGGCGCCCAGGTGGCTCAGTCCGTTAAGCATCTGACTTCGGCTCAGGTCATGATCTCACGGCTTGTGGGTTTGAGCCCCACGTCAGGTTCTGTGGCGTCAGCTCGGAGCCTGCTTGAGATCCTCTGTTCTCTCTCTCTGCCCCGCTCCTGCTTGCACATGCTCTCTCTCTCTCAAAAATAAAACATTAAAAAAAAAAGGCGATTTATTTTAGTCCTTATGATAACTCAGCAAGTTATGTGTGCCCACTTCCGTGATAAGGAAACTGAGGCACAGAGAGGTTAGATAATTTTCAGGGTCACAGAGCCAGTGAAGAGTTCTCAAAGAAGTCTGCCTACCACCCCCTCCCTCCACTCATACAAAACTGTACTCTCCATGAGGTAGAGGTCACACTGGTAAAATTAATCAGTGTACCCAGTGCTCAACAAACCGTAGGCACTAAGTCCATACTTGCGGGGTGAATCACCTGAGATTCAAATCCAGGTCTGAACCCTAAAGTCCGAGCTTCTTCCACAACATCAACTACATTTATCCAGCACTTGTTATGAAGCGTTACGTGTTACATAAGTGTTTACACACGAAGCTGTGAAACTCCTCCTCTTGCTATTCCCCCCCTTTTTTTGAGAGAAAGAGCGCGTGTGAGTGAATGGAGGGCAGAGAGAAAGGATCCCACAAGGGGCAGAGAGAGAGAACTCTGAAGTGGGGCTCAAACTCACGAACTGTGAGACCATGACCTGGTCACAGCTGGGAAGCCTAATCGCCTGAGCCCCCAGGGCACTGCCCCTCCCTTGCTGCTCCTATCAAAGTAGCATCTCCACCTACAGTTCCTGGACGGCCAAGAGTCACACTGAGACAGTAAGAAACAAAAAGCACACAGATGCGGGCAGGAGGCCACCTTTCAGAAAAGAGTTTTGGCGCCTCTTAGCTTCTCAGTACCAATACCTTCACCCCTCAAAGTATCCAGTATCTAGAAACAAAACAAAACAAAACAAAACAAAGCCTGTTTTTTAGCAAAGGGAGCCAGAGATCTAAATTCTAGTTCCTAAAAGACAACACATTCAGGGCAGCAAGGGTGAACAACCTCTGAAGAAGCGGATTGCTCTGAGACTCTAGAGCCTGGGGTCAGGCTGTCCGAGGCAGCAGGGCCCTCCAGGAGGGTGTGGCTACAAGCACTGGCCTTCCTGACACTGAGCCAGGGAGTCCCCAGTCCCCACCGGTGAGGAGTGAGGAGAATGAGAGGGTTCCAGCTCTGTTTTGGGGAGGAAGATGCCAGTTTCTCTCTTGCAGCGAGCTTTAGGCCAGAAGAGACTAGATAGGGGCCGTTGTGAGAAACACATCTGTGAAGTATGAGTAATAATGCGCAGGCCCCAGAGGAAACAAGGGTCGTGGTATCTCTGAGTCCTGCTCTTTCAACTCAACCAATAAGGAAGTGTTGGCCAGAATGGCCGGTTACACTTTTTGTTTTCTGCTCGGTCTGTAGTGGCTGATGCTGGGTACCGAGTGGATACCAGGCGCAGAGCTTTACCTCATTTCTTTCTTTCTTTTTGAGAGAGAAAAAGCATGAGTGGGGAGGAGGGGCAGAGAAGGAAAGAGTATCCCAAGCAGGCTCTACAATGTCAGCGCAGAGCCCGACGCGGGGCTTGAACCCACGAACTGCGAGATCGTGACCGGAGCCAAAGTCGGGCACTTAACTGACTGAGCCACCCAGGCGCCCCAATTTTACCCCATTTCAGTAAGAGTTGGGGTCTGGGACCTTTCACCAGAATCTAGGTTAAATACGCCTGAGGTTTCTAGGCTTGATTTTCTATACCCGAAGTACGCAGCACCCAAAATTCCTTGCTGAAACAAGACGAGTGTGCTTTTTGACATGGATTACGTAAAGCACTTCGACAGGGGTTAGACGGCTATTTTTGTCCAAGTTGACATGTTCAGTCAATAACCTCTTGAACGGGAAAATCTAGGTTAACAACAGGAGGGACAAACCCAACGGACTGAAAATAGCCCAGATCTATTTTAGACAACTCAAGTAAAAGGTGAGGTGAAAATACAAGCAAAAATAACAGCCACGATTTGAGAGGCACCCATGTGGCTGCTGACAACCGCTATCTCATTTAATCCTCACATCTGGGGGGGGGGGATGGTATCACCATCCTTATCACATAGATGAAGGCCACGGCACCGGCCCCGGCCCAATATCACGTTGCTGGCCAGTGAAGGCAGAACTGAGGGCTACCTGGCTCAGAGGCCGGCCTTCCTCAAGGTGGGGAAAATTCCAGGTTAAAACTAATACGTGCAGTGCCAGGCAGGGCCAGCCACAGCAGAGCGACCGCGGCTACTCTAACTGGAACGCAGGAAGGTGAACTCGCAGAACTATTTGAGCAACTTCTGCCCCTCTGTCCCCACGTGCCAGGGCCAGGCGCACCTCCAGGCGGTCTCAGGAGGAACAGGTGGTCACTATCCATCTGGGCCGGAGCCATCGGCGGGCCGCCACCGGTCCCCTGCTCACAGTTCCCCCGCGCAAGACCACCTGTAGTACTTAGACTACTAACAAGCCAAGTAAGAATTATAATCACTGCGCTGCATCTACGATGCCCGGAGAACAGGCCTCCGTTGGAAGCCAAGAGGGCGTTTTCGGAGCAGAAGGAAGCCGGTGGGGAGGTTTGGAAAGAGTGCAGGGGCGCCGGCTGCCCGGCGAGAATCCGGGCGGCGGCGGCAAGCGCCGCCAGTGGCAGAGGGCTGGGGAGGCCCAGGTCTGGGTCTGGCCCCTGCTCACTGCCTGTGTGACCTTGGCTGGGTGCCTCTTCTCCGGGCCTCGGTTCCCTCCGAGCCAGGGTCGGCCTGGGACGTGGGAAGCCGCGAAGCCGGTGACAGCCAGGTGAGGGGTGACCCCTGGGGGCGGGGGGGGGCACCCCAGGGACCGCGCAGAGGTCAGCGAGAGGCCAAGAAGATAAGAGGTCAGCTGAGGAGGGGCGGGCACGACACGAGGGGTTGGGGGGGACACCTAAGGGGGTGGGGCCCGGAGAAGAGGGCTCCCCGAGGGCTCCCCGGGCTGCGCCGAGTTGAGGGACACTTAGAATGGGGGAGTCGGTTCATGTGGGGGTTGGGGGGTCACGTGAGGCCGGAGGGTGTCGGGGTCACGTGAGAGGGGGTTCAAGGAACAATGGGGGCGCAGGGGGCGAGGGGAGCGGGGAGCGCTCCCGGCCCTCGCGTCTTTTCTGTCTGCCTCACTCACCCCCATGGCGGCAACAGCGGCGGCGGCCCTCAGCTCCTCCTTCCCACACTTGCCGGCAGGGAGGCGGCAACGGCAGCAACGGCGGCGGCGGCGACACCAGAGCGGCGGCGGGCCCCGCAAGGCGCATGCGCCTCGCGGGCTCCCCTGCGCGCCTTGGCGAGCACCGCGCCGGCGCAGAGCGGGGGAGGGCGCGCGCGGGGGAAGCGCGCAGGTGGAGAGCCGGGGAGGCGGGTGGAGGGTCTCGCTCCCGAAAGAGGCGGGAGGCGCGGAGCCGCGTCGCGCTAGGAATGACGTAGAGCCCGGACCCGCCCCCTCCTCTCCAGGCTGTGTCTGTAGCTATGGCAACGGCCGCGCCTGGCCTTGAGAAGAGCGCTGCCAGGCCGCAGGGTGGGTGCCAGCGCCGCCCCGGCGCTCCGCCTCCCCGCGGCCGCTCCGGCCGGGCCCGGGGCACCTTCGCAGCGGAGCAAGCGCGTCACGACCTCGGAAACACGAGCTCCTCCTGCAACCTTGGAGCACAGGGAAACTCTTTGGAAACGTTCCCACCTTCTAGATCTTGAACTCTTGAAGTTCCTTTTCTAACCGGAGTCCCGTTATACATTCATCCGTCTTCTGACTGTTCATTCATCATTCGCTCTCTCAACAAGCAGTTACCGGCACCTACGCGGCGCAGAACCCAGGGGCCACAGAGAGGAGCAGTCCAAAACCTCCCTGTTTAGAGGGGAGACAGGGCAGGCAACACTGTTTAACGGAGAGTGGATGGTGCTGTGGAAATGAGACCTCGGGCGTCCTGAACGATAGTAATTTCAGTCCGTCCCAGCAACCAGCGTGACCCCTTGCATCAGAATCTCCTGGGGAGCCGAATGCACTGTACACACCCCTGGGTCCTACCCCAGGACTCTAGGGCTGGAGTCAGTCTTCTAAGACCTCCGCGGGTAGGATCATACACGCGAAAACTAGACCACAGCTGCCCAAGACTTAAGTTTCATAAACTTGGTCAGGTTTTGCTCATTATCCCATCTCCCAGTGCTCAGGGCAGCGATGACCCAAAACAAGTGCTCAAACAGTGTATCTACTGAACGCCTACCATAGGCGAGGCTCTGTTCCTGATGGCAAAGAAAACAGCCATAGTTAATAGAAAAGGCACTGCCCTCACAGAACTTGTATTCTAAAAAAACTTTTTTTAATGCATTTTTTTTTTGAGAGATAGAGAAACAGAGCACGAGCAGGGGAGGGGCAGAGAGAGGGAGATACAGAGTCGGAAGCAGGCTCCAGGCTCCCAGCTATCAGCACATAGCATGACTGCGAGATCCTGACCTGAGCTAAAGTAGGATACTAAACCGACTGAGCCACCCATGCGCCCCCAGAACTTGTATTCTAAAAGAAGGCAGATAATAAATGAAATAAACAGGTAAAAATACTTAATAAGATAGATGATATCGATTCTATGGAAGAAAATAAAGCAGGGAAGGGGAATAGGGAAGGTCAGGATTTGGAGTTTTAGCTAGGATGCTCAGGGAAGGCAATTATGCGGTAACATTGGTGTCAAGATCTGAAGGAAGTAAGGGAGCAAGTTACGGATATCTGAGGACATTCCAGGCTCGGGGTACAGCTAGTGCAAAAACCCCAGGCAGGAACATGACTGATACGGTCGAGGAACTGCAAGTACAGTGGGACTGGAGCAGAATGGGCCAGCGGGAGATTAGCAGGAGGTCAAATCAAGTAGAGAGAGGATCGTTTAGGGCTTGTACATACGTTGTTGTTTTCAGTAAGCTCTACGCCCAACCTGGGGCTTGAACTCATGACCCAGAGATCAAGAGTTGCATGCTCTACCGACTGATCCAGCCAAGAAAGGACTTTGGGACCAGAGCAAGCTGGGACACCACTGGAGAGTCTGAGTGGAGGAGCCATGGAGTGTCTTATGTGCTCTTGGCACCATCTGGCCACTAGGTTGAGAAGAGAATGTAGGGGCAAGTTCACAGGAGGGTTCATGCAGAGGCCACCGCTCCAGTCAAAGGCAAGAGCAATGATGCCTGTATCAGCTGAACAGCAGTGGAGGTGGGAGAAGCAGTCAGGGTCTGGTGTGTACTGAAGGTGGACTGCATGTGGGGCGTCAGGGGAAGAAAGGGAGAAAGCTACCGTTCAAGGTCGCTTAGCTTACGCTACTGGAAAAGCGGAGCAGCTTCAACTGAAAACGCGTGCAACTTTGGAAGGAAGGAACAAGATGAGAGTGGGGCTAGGAAAGATCAGGAATTCTGTGTTGACTATGTCAGGCTTGAGATGTCTTTTAGACAGTCACAGAGAGATGTGGAGTGATCGGAGTCTGGAACTCGGAGATGGGGAGAGGTCCAGGCAGGAGACACAAATTTGGAGAGCAGCCAGCATGTGATGGTATTTCAAGCCTGCGGAGACTGCGGGAGGAATGTAGGTAGACTGGAATGAATGAATCTTCAGCCTGCATCCTGTTCCTCTTCCTCGGTAACAGGGGCGCCTGGCTGGCTCAGGCGGTGGAGACTGCGTTTTTTTTTAAAGCTTATTTTATTTTGAGAGAGACGCGGGGGGGGGGAGAGGACAGAGAGAATCCCAAGCAAGCTCTACACTGTCACTGCAGAGCCCTATGCGGGCTCGAACTTGCGAACTGTGAGATCATGACCTGAGCAGAAATCAAGAGTCGGACACTTAACTGACTGAGCCACCCAGGCGCCGGGGGCCTGCAACTCCTGACTTCGGGGTCACAAGTTTGAGCCCCACAATGGGTGTAGAGATTACCAAAAATAAATAAACTTAAAAGAAGAAAGGAAGGAAGGAAAGAAGGAAGGAAGGATGGAAGGGGAGAAAAGAAGGAAAGAAGGAAGGAAAGAAGGAAAGAAAGAAGGGAAGGAAGGAAGG